AGACAAATCTATCCATGAAATTTGGTATGTAAAACAATATGTACCAATAATTATTGAAAAACATATCTTCACAGCTAAAACAATCTATCAACATGACTCAGGACTAGATATAATAGTAGGAAATAACTTTCTCAAATTATATCAACCATTTATCCAAAGGATTAGAACAATCAGCCTGAGATGTCCTAAAACAATAGACCAGGAATCTAAGATAATCACAACAAGAATAATCACAAAAAATGAAGTGCTAAAGATTGTGCTTCAAAACCTCAAAAATAGACTAGAATATATACAGATTACTTATAGCATTCTAGAGGATACTTTAGACCAGGTGTGTAGTGAACATCCTTTAGATAAAGATAAAAATACCAATCAAGAACTTATCGAAATTAAACTAAAAGATCCTAAAATGGAAGTTAATGTCCCTAACAAAATTCAATATACCCAACGAGATGTAGAAGAATTCCAAAAGGAATGTTCAGAGTTAGCTGAAAAAGGAATAATACGAGAAAGTAAAAGTCCTCACAGTGCACCAGCCTTTTATGTAGAAAATAATAATGAAATCAAAAGAGGAAAAAGAAGAATGGTAATAAACTATAAAAAACTAAACGAACAAACAATAGGAGATAGCTATAAACTACCTAGGAAAGACTATATATTAGAAAGATTAAAAGGTCAAACGTGGTTTAGTAGTTTAGATGCTAAATCTGGATATTGGCAACTTCGTCTACATGAGAATACCAAACCTTTAACAGCCTTTTCATGTCCTCCACAAAAACATTACGAATGGAATGTTCTCCCATTTGGAATGAAACAAGCACCAGCTATTTACCAACGGTTTATGGATCATGTATTAGAAGGTTTTCAATCGTTCTGTTTGGCATACATTGATGATATTATTATTTTCACAAATCAATCAGAAGAAGACCATCGTGAAAAAATCTTGATAGTTTTACAGAGAATAAAAGAAAAAGGTCTAATTATCTCTAAAAAGAAATCAAAACTTCTTCAAAGAGAAATTGAATATCTTGGTATGAAGATTAATAATTTGGGTGAAATTGAGTTGTCACCAAACACTAAAGAAAAAATCGATAAATTCCCAAACCAACTTGAAAATAGAAAACAAATTCAACGTTTTCTTGGATGCTTAAATTATATAAGCGAACAAGGATTTTTAAAAGATTTAGCAAAAGAAAGAAAACATTTACAGAAAAAGATTTCTGACAAAATCCCTTGGTCATGGAATGATCAAGATACAAAAATAGTTTTATTAATGAAAGAAAAATGTCAGCATTTACCAAAATTATATAACCCTTGTGAAAACGATTTTCTAATAATTCAAACGGATGCCTCTAAGGACACTTGGGCAGGGTGTATGTTAGCAATACAAAATGGTAAGGAATTATTACAAATGGACAATTTTGGTAATGTCAAAATAGACAATAACGAGGCTACTGTCTCTGGCCAAGAGCCTAAAGATTATCAGTCTTCGGACAATATTATTGAACTTTCAAGTTCTCAATCATCAGTTCCTTTCAACAGTGATAAATATTCTAAGAAATTATGTAAATATATTTCTGGAACGTTTACCGCCACTGAACAGAACTATCCGATCCACGAATTAGAGACACTAGCCTGTCTCAGAACATTGAAAAAATGGAAGCTTGAATTATTATCTACAAGGTTTGAACTTCAAACCGACTCTAAATATGTAACAGGTTTTTGGAGGTACAAGCTTCAGGCAGATTTCAACAAAGGGAGATTAATCAGGTGGCAGCAACAACTCCATTATTACAATCCTTATCTGAAGTATATCAAGTCCAGCAACAATCCCTTCACAGACACACTGACTCGAGAATGGAAGGATTCATAAAAACCCTCATCAATCAACTAAGGCAGAAGCAGGAAAAGAGTGCAGCACTGGAACAACAACTTCTCCTTTGCAGGGGGGAGGAAGAAGCAATAATTCAATCAATCGACGTCATTCAGCAACAGTTAAAAATCAACTACATCAACGTCAGTACATTAACAACTAGCTCCACTAGTGGAAAGCCATCAACACTCACCACAGAACCTGCTGAAAAAGAAAAGTCGACAGCAACACAATCATCCACCACTACCAGCAATAATATACAAAAGACGACACGATGGGCAGACATCGTTGAACAAGAAGAAAAAGAAACAAAAGATTCCCACTATGAAGAAGACGACAGAAAAGGCAGCAAGTGGTATGTCATATTCAATGGACCATACCGAGGAGTATATCATAACTGGGCCATCGCTAGCCAGCACATCAACGGCAAACCAGTCCAACATCAATCATTTAAAACAAAAGAAGCAGCCGACGAAGCATACAGACAATCATACAAGGTGATGGCAATGAAAGAACCACTCAAGAATCAAGAGCAACAATCGCAGAAACTCGTCATGAAGATACCCAGTATCAAAAGCATCCTAACCACCAAGGAAAAAGAAGAGCAATTAAAATCAATCTTTCAGAAGTTCATATCCAACTGGGATATGATAATCAACTATGAAGAAAAACACACGACCATGGGTTTCTACCCCGTCAGTCGAGGAGGACCCAAAGCAGTAATCACAGAAGAAGCATCACCAGAACTCTCTTTTGAGTTCCATCAATATGGATTAATCGACACTATCTACACTACAACCATGAAGGTATTTGAATACTTCCCACAAAGAATGAGGAACGTAATCAGAAGATATCTCGAGCTATTCGCCAAGGAAAGAGAAATATTTCTCAAGTATACAAGCAGCTACCCCGTATTCGATCAAGACAAACTATTGATCGGATCAAAGGCAGTGATCCTCATGGGAGTATCAAACCATGATTACCCTACCAGAGATGACCTACGAGACTATGAGAAGAACCCAGACTACCAAGTAAAGGGTCTTCTTGCAGTATGCAGAGCTTTAACCAAAATTGAACCGGAAAGCCAGATTAAAGTCAATTACAGCAGCCCCGATGCCATCATCACCAGCAAAACAAGAGGAAACATGACCAAAGAAGAATGGGCAATCATAACAGATAAAATTAAGGAATTCACGGAAATTAATGGGAATCTGTCAGCCCTTCCCATTCAAATCAAGAAACAGTTATGCAATGAGCTTACTATCTACGAAGATCATCTCTGTGAGTGGTGTGCAGCAACTGATGAAGACATCAGTGGACCAGCAGACCAAGACTGACAGAAGCATGTGAAGAAAAAGGAATCAAACATGGAATAAAGCAACAAAAGAAGGTTGGCCGACTCCTTTAAAAAAGTCGTGCATTATTGTATTTTATCAGCTTTCTTATCGTTTCTCGCGTTTTCTTTTAACACATTAGCTTTACGTCCCTGTTGCACAAACGTAAGCAATGACGTCTTTGTATCTCCCCTCAGCTCTATATAAGAGCAAGAGTTTGCAATGAAATAAGGCAGAACGAGTTTGGCCATAAAAATTGCCTGTTTACTCTCTCCCTCTAGCTAGCTAGTTGTAAGGCTTGGATCCACTGATCCTGGAGGCCACAATCATTTTCAATATAATCAAACGCACGGAAGGAAGCTACAATCATCAAGCGATCATCAAAAGGCTCAGAATTTCATCAGAAGAGCAAGTCAGGTATGTCTGATAATCCTACCTCAAGTTATTTTGACTATTTAAACAAGAATGATAATGAAAACTACTTCTTAGATGGTGTTATAGACATTAAGAAAATTAGAGAAAAAACTAATTTTACTATTTCAGAAACTCAGAACTTTATCACTAAGTCTTTTTTATCAAAGCTCTTCGATAGAGAAAACATTATTAAATATGGTAAAATGATAGGTGAAGTAGCAGTCCCTATTGATCAAACTAAGGGTGATTTCCTAATCCAAGTAATAAATAAAGAACAAATCAGAAAAAGATTAGCTAAACTAAGATCAGAAGAACGAAATAAAATAGCTTATATTCATATTAGTACAATTCAAATTATATTAAAATCAACCATGAAAATAGGAATTGACGCACCCATGGAATTAGAAATTCGTGATGATAGGCTCCTAAACGAAGAAGAAAGTATTATTGCTAAAGGAACGGGAAATTTAGGAGTAGGAATAATTAAATTCGACATTAACCTGCAACAAGGATTAAGCCTGGCAGATGGTAATCTTGACTCTTCTATCATTATAAAATACGAATTAAAAAGAGAAAATTTTATGAAAGAGAATAGCAAACCATTTTCAGTAACTTATCAAATAAACTACGCATTAACAAATAGTCACCACAGCTTAACCTTTAAAAATAAGGAAGTAATTACTATAGAAGATTTATTTAAACCTTTAATTCAACTAGAAGCACCATTAAAAACGGTTAGAATAGAGCCTAGTCGACCATCAATAACCCAAGATCAAAGACGATTAATTAAAACACAATCAGAGAGAATTAGGCATATCCCAGTAATTGAACAAAATTTAGAACAAGAAGAGATAACCAATAATCAAGTAAATAAATTAATTGACGAGATAACCAATAATCAAGTAATAAATAAGTTGGAAAAATTGCAACATTCAATCGCAAATCTAGAGAATAAAATCTAAAACATGCCTACTAATTATCATATAAATAAATTAATTGAAGGAATAGATGCCATAAATCTCACTTCAATAAATTATATCAATACGGTCACACAAGAACTAACTTATTTTGCTTCAGAAATCGTAGAGGAACAAATGAGTATTGGAATCACAGAAACATTAGAAGAAGCTATCTCTAAAACCGAATTAATTACTGATATAATAACTAGCCTAAATAAAATAAAACAAAGATTACTAAACCAATAAGACATTTATAAAAATATAAGAGAGTAACAAAAACATGGTATCAGAGCCCAAACCGATCAACTACCCGAATTATTTAGTTCGCAAAGACTTGGATATTAGTTCATACACCATTGGATATCAGTTAGTATCTACTAACAAAATGACCAGTTAGCAGATTAACCAGGTTGGATCAGACTTGGCCCGAACTAAAAGCCGCAAACCTCTCATCTCTTCTCGCCAGGAATGTCGAACGCGACTGAAGATCTCCATCGCAGGCTGACGCAGTAATCGCTCTCTCTCTCTCTCTGTCTCCAGCTCTGCATTTTCATTTCTCAATAGCCATACGCGATAATGGAAAGCTGAGGTTACTCTTCAATCTTCTTTTCTGTTAGATTATCGGAGTCGTTACTCGCCCATCTCTCTACTACACCATACGCGCCACCTGAAGGCTCAGCCGTCTCCGTGAAATTCGTCCTCCAGTCTCTCCTACACAACCCTTCATCCGGCGCCGGGGAATCGCAGCTCCAGGAATCAATCAGGAATTTTGTTCTGGCATCGGCCTTGCTTTCCGCGTCCGAATCCTCCACTCACGAGTTGCTCTCATGGATTCCCCGTCAGCTCGCTGCAGCTGCTGCCGCCTCTTTCCGCGATCTCTCTGATGTGTATTGCCACGGCAATGACAAGAGGTTGGTGGCGGAGTTAGCGCCGGAGGTTTTGCTGTTGTTGAAGGACAGGATAAAGGAGAGTTCTATCGATAAAGGTACCGATGGTGATGAAGTCTCCGCCGCTTCGGCTAGGGTTCCGGTTGGAATTGCTATTCTGGCTGCTTATCAGCTTAGATGGTTTGTTACTCAGGTTTGTTGCCATTTTCTCGTTTGTCTGGCATTGCGATTTGGGAATGTTTGAGTTGAGTTCTCCTGCGAAATTGCCCGTTTTGGGGGAGTGATCAAATTTTGCTTGTTTGTTCCGTGTACTAGATTGATAAGTTGAACTTGGGGAAGCTCTGCAATTTGGTGATTCCATGTGCATTGACTGCTCTTGATCATTGGTCAACGGAGGTGAAGGCAAGTAGTTGTTCACTTTCATAGTTGCTGTTGTTCTTTTACTTTGTGTAACCGAATGAAGTATAACATTTCTGTGTATTGGGATTCAGGGCCAAGGGATGATATGTTTCATTCATCTAGGGAAGAACGTGAATTCTGCCGAGTTTGGTGTTTACCAGGATGTCATTCTTGATGCTTGCTGCAATAACATTGCATCTGCTGATGAAATATGGCATCTTGTGGTGGAAATGTCTGTGCTTCTGGTGTCGAGCATCCACCAAAGTAATCCAAGAAGCCATTGGTAGTCTTTACTTTTGCTCTTACTCTCTTCCTTGGACCACCTCCACCACATGCAATCAATTAGTAATTTCAAATGTTAGCCCCCTACTACTGCCACATAAGTAGTTTTAGCAATTACTTCATTCAACGATTCCATACCATCTACATCTATCTGAGTATAATTTGCAAATTGCTAAACCCATAATTTCCCCCTTTGTCACTTTGATTTCTCTCATTCAGGTATGAGAGGATACTAGGCGAGATGCTTAGTCACCTGGAGCGTCAGCCAAGAAATAAGGAACGCCGTGTTGCTTGGCTGACATTCATAGAACCACTCTTCCAAAGCATGGGTCTTGTGTTATTGGCTCATTTCAGGAGGCTTTTCCCACTTTTCTTCAAGTGGATACATGCCGATGATGATGAAACTGTCCTTCTGGTGTGTGACTCTTTTTCTGGTAGATCTGTAGACAAATTCAATTTCAGGGTTTAAGTTAAGGCAGGTTCTGAAACGGCCTACTCTTTTTGGTGCAGGTTCTGAAACGGGTTCATACAGTCTTGAAGTTAACATGGATAAGAAATACACCATACATCATGAGGTTGATCATCTAAACCCCTCTGTAATGTCTCCAGCTATCCACCATAACCTCATAGTGTCGGGCATTTTCACTTTTTGGTTAATAGATTGGTGGATGAGCTTGTTGCGTTGCACAAGGAAGCAGCATTAAGAGTAGGCCGTGAAGAAATTAGGACGAGTATACTTGAGGTCCTGCTCTTACTGAAGCAGTAAGAACTTCTTCTCCCAAACCACAAATTTAATGCAGTCTTTCCTGTTAGTTACCCTGGCATCACCTTTTCAAATATGTTAAACTTACTTCACTTCCTCTGTATCTTTTTCTCTGTGCCATCCTGTAAATGAACCAAAGATGCAAGCGGCAGCAGTTCACGGCGGCCTGGGAAATGCACAGGGATGACTCAAATCTAGCAGCTTTGTGTTTATCTTTAACTGAAATCTCCATTGATGAGGAGAGTTCCACCAGCAACACCTTGAGGAGTGACAGCCCACAAAACTGCCTGCAACTACTAACTACCCACTAAGTTGTTGGAGAAATTCGATGTGTCCTCCCACTAGACTTCATGTAAATACGATCATTCACCTTCTGTAGATCGAATGTACACGTACAGTTGATTTATTGCAGACCACGAACAAGGCCAACCTTTATTACCATTTACCAATATGAATGACTGTTTCAGCATGGATTGTTGCCCCCAAATACGTGGATTTTGCTGAAGCGACCATTTGATCAGTGGATTGTTGCCTCAACTACATGGATTTCTTCTCATGTCTATCGGTCAAGAATAGAAACGAGTTCTTGTGAAGCAAAAGACAGTTGATCTATTCCATACCAATAAGAAGGTAACATCAGTCACCGAGTCTAAACCATCTTGTATAGTAATAAAATAGCACATGTGAAAGAGTCAGAGAGAGACAAACTAATTATTAATTACAAAGTAATAGTAATAAGGGTAACTCAATATCTTTGTCTAACATCATGCAGAAGTAGATAGAAAGCCAAGAGATATCAAGTTAATATCACTGGAACAGTGAACTCCTGAGTAAGTCTTTCATCATAAATTTAATCAATATGACAAATGTTAATAACAAACTCTGAATGTATGAGGGGGACGATTGAATTCTACAATCTTTCCTAAAAGAATATAAAGTAAAAAAGAGTAAATGATATTCTTCCTCTACAAAACCCAGGCAGGGAGTAATAGAGAGATAACTGATCAAAGTCTCTTATTGAGCCCTTTGTTTTCTACTATTCTTTTCTTTTTTAACTTTCATTTTTCATCTGGCTAATCATCCTGCAGCTGTTGCTGATACAAAGTGGAAAACCCTAACCCTACCCAGAACCCCCAGGCTTCCAAAGAAGATTTTTTTTGGTGTATTCTTCTAGAGACCAAAATAGTGTGATACACCCTTTGCACTGCATCATTGCTCCACTGAGCCAACCTGCTCTCTCGAAAGCATTGCAGCTGCCGCCACCTCGTGATCTTTTGACAAAATAACAGAACGCACAGTCACAGTCGTCTTTCTTACATGCTGACTAGGATGCTGGCATTTCATCATCACTTACTTCTTTTCTTTACTTCACTGTAGAAGATGACTCCAAGAACTGTTAGAGAGTAGCCAAGCATCCCCGTAATAGATACTGGATTCTTGAAGATTAGAATCGAGACGACAACTGCCACAGCGCCTTTCGCATTCCCCAAAACCTGCAAATACAGAAGCAAAATATGATTGCTTGTTATCCGGGTTGCAAAGGAACTTAGTCCTGACCTAATCTCAGTATTTAAGTTAGAACTGCATAACCAAAAAGGTCTAAACCCAGGACAGACTTTTCATAAGATCAAGATTCTGAACCCTGAACTCCATGAGTAAGTACATTTTTTCCCTAGAATCAATTCATAGTTGGCTAAGGATCACTTCATAGCCATTGCATTATGCTGATGTGACTTAGAAGTGAATGGAAGGCAGCATACCTGGAGAGTGAGAGCGCTTGTGTGTTTAGTGACCAAGAAGTTGGTCAAATTGACAAAGAAAGCTAATACGGAGTTGAAGAACAGCATCCACATGAACTTTGGATCATCTCTTGCCAGAGCCAGAGTAATACCAACCACATTCCCTTCCATCGTTAGGGTCGCAGGCAGCAAGAACACAACAGCAATTGGAGCCATGTATAGGAGCAGATTCATGGAATTCAGCTTCTCCCTTGAGACAGAAATAAAAGAACCATTTTTCAGCATGTAATCCTAGTTTCAAACTTTCCAATATCAAATGAATTCAAAAGTACTTGTGCCACTAAAAAAAGGACCTTACCCCTCTGAAGAAAGCAATATACCCTGGACGACTGACTTAAGAGCTCTTGCTGCTGTAGCAGCGATACACATTATAAACCCAAAGAGATGGAAGCTTGGTTCACCCTGTTGCAACAACACAGAAAAAAGACAGAGATCAGAACCAACCCAGAAGCATGAAACTCTATCTACATATAAAAAACACAGAAAAGCAATCCAATTAATTGATTCAACCGGATAGCCTGCAGAACTGTTGAGCATTTGTCATCTCTAGAATCAACCTTCGAAAAGCAATCATTTAAGAAGCAATGATGAAATGCATAACCATTTATCAGAGAAAAGAGCTGTTCCAATAGAATTTCACTGACAGAGTCCAATTTTAACCCCTCACTTCAGCAATGAAATGATTAGAACACCAAATCCCATTGCAGAAACTCAACCAGCTAAAATCTAACCTCACACTGGAAAATTGAGAGAAATCGGTACTTACCCCAGTGGCAATAATGACTCCAGTCACCACAGGAACCAAAGTGAGGTAAGTGAGCCAAGCCTCCCTCTTGAGAGTCATCGCATAAGCAAAGACGGCGGTGAAGAACGGGGTAGTGGCGCCGACAGCCTGATTAAAGGACACCGGAAGGAAGCGGAGGGAGATGTTCCCAAACACCACCGACACACAGAAGATCATGCTCAAAGCGGAGATCTTGAAGAATTGGGTGCGGGATCGAATGGTCTGCAAGGGGACGACCTTCATCCAAACAATGGAGATGTAGCTGAACAAGCTGCAAGCCGTCATGTGGCACATGGTGAGGAAGATTGGGAACTTGAACTCGTAAATGCTGAGCAAGAACTTGTTCATCAGCAGGACCCCGATGTTGGAAGAGTACCAGCAGGCGACCAGGCCGATCGTGAAGAGCAGCGTAGTCGCCGGCACGGCAATGTTCCCCTTCACTGACTTCTCCATCTCGACTTAAGCTATGAGCTATGGAGATCTGAGAAATCGAGGGGCGTGGGGTGGGCGGCTTGAGTTTTCCCTTCTTCGCTCGGATTAGTCTGCAAAGAAGGGGGGTTTTCAGTGGCTTCGAAGTTCCCTAGATTGCTATGGATCCGGACACGCCATGGATCTCTGCCATAACAATGGAGGAAAGGGGGAAGGAAGCAAAAGGAGAAGGTAAACTCGACGGGCGGAGAGGGATAGGTGACGGGGGAAGAGAGAGATGGAGAGAGGGTAGTGGGAAAGAAGGAGAAATTGGTCAAATGGAGGGGAAGTGCGACGGAGAAGGAAGAGGCTGGAATTTTTTTTTAAGAGGGGGGAATTTGACGGTGGCGGCGGAGGAGAATGAGGTGGCGGTGGTGCTAAAACGCGTTGAAGAAGGGAGAATTCTGGTAACGTGGGGGGTATTTTCTCCGGTTTCTGTTTGTTTCTTTTTTGTGTAGTTTTATAATAAAAAGAAGAAGATTAGGGGACTTATTTCTTTATTTTAATTAATTAAATAATTCATAAGGGGTTTAGGGTGTGTGCTGGTTTTGTGTAGGGGAAGGAAAGGCGTAGTTTGACTTCGTTAGGGTACTAATTGTGGGGGGAAATTTCTTTAGGGACTCTTTACGTCCTTTACAATTCAACTCAATTCAAGATCTAGTCCTCGCAAATTCAGTGATATTTCGTTTCGTACAACTACAAATCGACAATTTAATTTTATGATATTATTTCTATTTAGTTGAAGCATAGATTTGGTTAATCAAGTTTTAATTTGATTTTGGGGTGTGCTTTCAAGGCTATAAATAGATACTTTATACCTTAAAGAAATGAAAAGGAAAACTATGTATAATTGTACATGCAAATTAAATGTGAATTAATAATCTGAAAAGTTTGTTATAAGAGCCCCAACTTATTTCCGATAATGGGGAAAAAGAGAGGAATCACACGTTGAAGTAGTACAATTAACTGAATCCATCCAGGAGCCAATCAAGGTGTTTATTTCTGACATTGGTGTATGTATGTAATGGCCATGGGCCCTTCGTGATGTAGACCTTATTACAAATTTAGATGTTCAATCTCTTCTTTAACGTGTGAAATTTCTCGAGCTTTAAGCTCGTGGAGCATTTAGGGTGTTGATCAATATGAGCCCAAGGGCCCAAAAGCAAAGCGTCGGCCCAACAATCCTTTTTTTCTCTTCTAAAAGGACGAAAAGTCAAGTTGACTTCATATTCTACTTATCCTCCTGTAAAAAGCAAGTAGATGCGCGATGAAGCGATTTTAGGTTTGGGTTAAATAATAGAACGTAGAAACAAGAGCACGAAGTTTTTGCTCTCAAGTAATACATAACCAAACGAGTCTCATTTTTGTAAGTTCTCAACCGTGTGGGTACGTTTGCCAAGTGAACTTGAACAGTCACTATGCACACGGTATCGAGCAACAACACGAGCAAAATAAAGGACATAGGACTGTTCTAGCATAGGAAACAATTCGAACGAAGGACTTCTGCAGATAGTCTATAATAACACCAATAAGCAACGAAAGAGAGTTCAAAGAAGGATTTGATTACTCCGATCATTCAAACAAGAACGGGGTGGGGGGATTACTAATACTGGAACGGATCGAAATGGTGTACAATGTCCATCCACCATACTAAACAAAACAAAACTCTCCGACAAAAAGAGAAGGCACAAGAGAAATCAAAGCTCAAATTATCGAAGAACCCAAGTAATCAGAAGTTTCCTCCGAGACAAACAAGCTTCCCATCTACAAAACCTGAGCAACAAGGAGAGCAAGACTTCAGAAAAAATGGTACAAGAAAACCAGGTTTGCACAAAGATTCAGATGCAACTGAAGCAGCTATACTGAATTCGACAAGTAAAAATGACTACTGGATTCACGCCTGTGATTTAGTAGGACAAACACTTCACTATACCGAATTCGACAAGAAAAGGAAAGACAGTGCTAAGCCAAGACAACAAAGCCTAATATCTTCTAGTTACTCCTGAAATTCTAATTCAGATGACAAAACTACACATCAATATTTCAGGGTATACTAAACAAACTAATCCACACATCAACTAGACAGTACCTTAGATATTGCTGGGGTACATGAAGACTCTTACTCTGTCTCCCTGCAACATAAACCAGAACTCTGGTAAGCCGCAACAAAACCAGCAAAATTAGAAACTCAAAACTCTGGGAATCGTATAACTTCAAGTACCATGGACTTGGGGGGGAGGTTGGACGTGAACTTTGCTCTAACAACACCGCTGTTTCCATGAGACCGTGAGACCTTGCCCCAGATGCAACGATAGTGCGAGCCATCCTTCTTAACCTTGGCCTTGTAGATATAGGCCAAGCGCTTTCCAGCATACCATGCTACCTCTTCCTTTGTATTCACTCCCTCAATTTGGATCAGAGAAGTATTGGGGTACTGGTTTGCCTTGGACCTATTTATCATTAACAAAATCAACATTCAATCCCTCAACACAAACCCTAGAAAGATTACCACATTAACTGAAAACTACACTAGTTATTCGAATTCACTTTTCCAATACATCGAAGATCTGAAATACTGTTATTGAGGACCACATTTCCTGAAACCCTAACTAGATGGTAATAGAGAAATAGGGGAATCATCGAAGTTCAAGCCTCATTACCTCTTGTACCCTAGGATGGTTCCTCTGACGTAAAGTCTGCAAAAAATCAAAACGATCAAAGAAGAATAATTATCTTCAATCCACCACTCTCTCAATTAACAAACTTGGTAATACGAAAAGGAAATCTAAACTGCGAGCTGGAGAAAACAGTTGACTGTCGGTCTGAGATCGTAATCGGAATTGGGGATATCCAGCGGAAAAGAGCTCGAAGTAACAGAGAGGAGATCGGGAAAACCAATACCTGACGCGCTCTCCTTCGCGACCTTTCACCATTTTCGCGGGTTGGAGGCGGAGTTTCTCCCTTTTCCCGGTTGCTGCAGAGGTGGCTGGAGTGATGCGATATGATGCGGGAGAAGACGCTTCCTAGAACCCTAATTTCAGTGTCTACTTCATTTAAAGAGAGAACGCGGGGCAAACCTCCGTGCTAACCATTAGGCCCTTGATAAGAAGGCCCAGTTATTGAGCCCGACAATGCACAGATGATTATCTCCAGAAATATCCATGGGGCCTCAATAGAGCACCAGTTCTCGGCCCATTCCAAGTGCAGATAAGTCATAATTTTTTTTGATTACGCAGATAAGTCATAATGATTAGCTATTTAGCTCAATAGGTCAAGATTGATCTTTCTCTAATCACTAGTAATAATGCATGCTCCTCTAGCGCTAACTACAAACTAAAAAAATTTAAAAATAAGTTATAATTTTTTAAATAGATTATTCTATTTGTGAATCCAATGTCAGCCCCAGTATTTTAGGAAAACTAAGAAGAATGGTAGATAAGGGTTATAGGGAAAAGAAAAAAAAAAAAGAAGAGGAAACTGTTCTAAAAAGAATTGTTGGATTTCAAAATCACGTTGTTTACCAATAAAACAACTTAATATCAGGTTGGTTAGTTTTAAGGAATGGTTGTAGACTTGTAGTTTATAAGGTTAGCTTAACTATTTAATTAAATTTGTTTAAGTTGGTTTGTGTGATGGACTTTTGGGCCATCCTGTATCATGCAAGGTATATTAGTGTATTACCCTCTCATCTCATCAACCCTCAAGCACTAACCTCATCCTAATCCATCAAGTATATCCAAGGGGGCCAGTGTGGGTATACCTCGTCCCAACCCATCAAGCATGACATGATCATAGAGGGTCATCGTGTGCATCCCGAATCCTTACCCATTAAGCACCTAAGGTGTCGTTTGTTTGTTGGATTTGAAAAATGAGGGTTTTGGCCAACAAAAACCTTGGGATTTATGTCGGGATTTATTGGATTATGGATTTGAAGAGTCTAATGTTTGCATGATAGATTTGATGATGGATTTGTTAAATAAATAACTAACCATCAAGGATTTGCAAATCCCAAATCAATATGTGAGATTTACAAGTCCGAGGGGTCCACGGATTTAGCACCCTTCAACAAACAATGGACTTATGTTAAATCCATCAAGCTTGGGATTTGGGTACCAAATCCATGACCCAAATCCAACAAGCAAGTGTCAAGCATGACATCATCATGCAGGGTTAGTGCGCATCCACCAAGTACAAAAGTGCCAAGCATCATGTCAGGCTAAGGGGGTTAGTGAGCATTCATCAACCCCCTCGTTCTCGACGCCCCTGCCCCCAAGCACCTAAGTGTCAAGCATGACGTCATCCAAGGGACGTATAGTCGGGTATCAAGCACGATACCTACCAAAAAGACCATCTAGACTCCGTGGATATCCTCAAGGCATTGAGCATCGAGGTGCTCGAGACCGATGTGTCAAGTTGGCGACCTACTCATCATGACGACCCCCCCCCCCCCCCTAAGCGTGTTACCCTCACATATCCAGCATGACAGACTATCTAGGTGTTAAACACTAGGCGCCCATTTAAGTAGTCATCACGTCACATTCCATCAAGCCTCCAAACACACAAGTCTATCTAGTAAGGTATCAGAACAAGCAGTCAAGCAAGATACCTCCTTGGCAAAGACTACCCATCAAGCACGTTATGAAGTCTTCAAGCCGTCAAAGTATCAAGTGACTAACATGGAAGGATGATGAGTTAGAGAATCAAGCAAGCTACATCAAGTACTATGACTCTTGGAGGAGTAGTTACCGAGGAGGTTACACCAAATGGCTATCAATAGGAGAAACGAAGACTAGAAAATGGTTTAGAAAACCACAACTCCAACACGCATGTCAAGTTTATATTTTTCTCTGCAAAGTACCCATATGTAGTTTCCAGATCTCTCACTGAACCTCCATAAGAGTACAGAATAATTTAACATAGCTTGTTCTTATAAAAAAACTCCATCAAATACATCAAACACTCTCGTTCGAACATTGTTTAGAGAGATGTAAACTATGTATTAAATCAATATCCAAAGAATTCAAGGTACAATCTATTATTATCAAACATAATTTCCCTCGTCGAAATGCACATGCATTATGTTTCAAATTGTAAACTCATTAATTTCCATATCCAATATTTTTTAGTTTGGTTCTTAATCATGCTAATCATTTATGGACCTGATATAAAAACAACATAATAAAAGTTCTCAACAAAACATTGGAAATCAAAATAAGAAAAATAACACCAAGGCAGAGAGCTTTAATTTGTTGCATATTTCGCACTTTCAATATCTATCCTAATTGGCGGCTGCGGTAAATCCTTTCTTTTGGATGGTTTTCTCCCGTCCTTGTTCAAAATCGAGCAAAAGTAAAGACAAATTTTGGAGGGAGGGAGGAAGAGGGTAAAGAGAAAGGAGGGAGGGGAGAGGGGGTAAACAGAGGGATAAAAAAAATTGGTTTTCTTAACCTATGTACATTGCATACTATATCGATTCTCTGTTGATCAACTTATTCTTTCTTCTTCTTATTTTTACCATCCCTTGTTCTTTTCTTGGTTGGACGTTCTTTCTTTCAATCGGGCAATCTCTCTTGTTTTATTTATTTTTGTACATAATTCATTTTGCATTATAGATGTTAGCACAATGTCGGGGTCCGATCAAAGTTCAAGCAACTCACCTTATTACATGACTCGACGGCGGGTTGGGGATTTCTTAGAATCCCAGGACCATAATGGCATCATCGGAGGAGGGTCTGGTGCGTCTGGTGGAGGAGAGAAAAGAATGATGAATAATAAATTGACGGAGTTGCTGAAGCGACGTATGGGGAGAAAGGGCACGTTTGGGGTATTGTTACTAATGGCATTCTTAACAATGTTGGCGAAATTCCCCCTCTTGCACACCCTCCAAAACATGGAATCAGGTTATGGATTCATCATGGCCGGTAGCCAACGACTTGAGATTAATCTCACGAACGAGACTTCTACAACAGGTAGTGTCGAGAAGTTAGTGAAGACGCCGCAGAAGTTCTTGGTTAGCATACACATATCATAAACTTTTTCATTGAAATTAAAGAAAATGGGGAAAGAAAGCAAATTGGTGCTTGGAGTTTTTGTTTTCCTTCTATGTTGCACAACATTACATTATTTTGTAACTTTTTTATACCAACACTCTTCTTTTTCTTTGCAATTTTGCAATTTCAGATAAATTTTCTATTGGTATGTCAAGAATTTTGTTACATTTTTTTATGAACAAGTACTCTAACGAAAGATAACACTAAATAATTGCGTTCGTTAAAAGAACATAGACTTTTCTATACCTTCCCACATTTAGGAAAATGGAAACAAGTCATGCCCAAAGACCAAAGTTGTATTCAACATTTATTTTTAAGTTAAATCGATAAATTACATGCAATATTTTTTACGTTCTATGTACATGTTTGTTTCTTTCCCTACTATCTTTCATTTCCTCTTATGTTGCTTGCAATGGAAAAAAAAAAAGGAGTGGACATGGCCAATCATTTCTCAAGTTGTTTGATTATTTTCTTAATTAAAGAGAGAAATGATAAATTTATATATTCAACTGTTATTGATTGATTTGATCGATTTTTACAGATTTCAAACATATGGGAGAAACCTAACGGTGAAAACCTCTACAAATGCATTAACAGGTCAAAAAATGACGAGAGTAAGCACTTTACCCTCGAGTAGTACATGGTATAATGAGAATAGTAAAAGTTAATGCTTGGACAATAAGCAATTCTACATGTAAAGTATTTTCCTTTCAGGGAATACAGCTACGACCACCAATGGGTACCTTGAAGTTCACGCTAACGGTGGATTGAACCAAATGAAAGCTGGGGTAACAAATATATAATGAAAATGTATTCATTCTGTTTCTCCCATTTGAAATCTCTCAATTTTCTCATTTCCCTCAGATCAGTGATATGGTAGCCATAGCCAAACTAATGAATGCCACTTTGGTTCTTCCTTCTCTCGACCACTCTTCTTACTGGACGGATCCAAGGTAAGCACTAGTATGAGTAAATGGTAACTTTTTTATATAGTAAAATGTAACCATTGGTCACTAATTAGCTTGGTTTTCCCCCTCTCATTTTCGAGTTTAGTGGTTTTAAAGACATTTTCGATGTCGGCCACTTCGTTGAGGTCCTGAAAGACGATATCGAGATTGTGGAGTCAGTTCCTCGAGAACTCGATGGGGTAACGCCATTGGAGAAACCACCAGTTTCGTGGTCCAAGGTATTGAGTTTCTTCTTCTTTAGGTTATGTGCCTAGTTAAGGCCCGCAATCTTTTTAACATGGATCCCCTACAGCCTGCGTATTACAGAAACCATATGGCTAGCCTGCTGAGAAAGCATAAAGTGATCAGGTTCACTCATTCTGATTCTCGACTCGCCAACAATGGCCTTTCTGCCTCCATTCAAAGACTCCGTTGTCGCTCCATGTACGAGGCCCTCAAATTCAGGGAAGGAATTGCAGATCTCGGGAGGAAGCTGGTTGATAGGATCCGGGGTAAACAACAACAACGTTTCATAGCTCTTCACTTGAGGTAGCGTCCACGAAATCGAGTTGTGAACTACGTTCACTTTTCAAAAGAACATTTTCACCATTCAAAAAGTCTTGAGTTATAAGAAATTTGTTGCTTTTACCTAAACCAGCTGGAACAATAATGGATGACTTGCAGATATGAAAAGGACATGTTAGCTTTCACTGGATGCAGTCACAACCTCACAAAAGCAGAGGACGAGGATCTATTAGCCATGAGATTAAGCACAACCCACTGGAAGCACAAACACATCAATGGCACAGCAAAAAGGCTAGAAGGGAATTGCCCCATGACACCCAGAGAAGTGGCCGTGTTCCTTGAAGCCTTAGGCTATCCATCTGATACCCAGATTTACATAGTTGCAGGGGAGATCTACGGCCAGAACGGGCTTGATGCACTCAAGGAGAAGTATCCGAATGTGCACACTCATTTCAGTCTAGCAACAGAAGAGGAGATGGAGAGCTTTAGGAATAGACAGAATCAGCTGGCCGCCATTGACTACATCGTTGCCATCGAGAGCGATGTTTTTCTGTATAGCTATGATGGTAACATGGCTAAAGTAGCCACCGGTCACCGGAGATTTGAAGGGTTTCGGAAGACCATCAGCCCTTACAAGTAAGCAACAGGAGAATAAGCCATAACATATATCCCCCCCATTGTCTCTTAACTCTCTATCATCAATAGAATTTGCACTGAAGTTTCTTGTTCTATGTTTGTTGCAGATACAAATTTGTGAGATTGATCGACAAGCTGGACAAGGGTCTGATACCATGGGACGAATTTGCAAGCAAAGTGCAAGAGTTGCATAAGAACAGGACTGGGGCTCCGTCGCCCAGACACCCAGGGCGTTCCTCCAAACATGAGGAGAACTTCTATGCAAACCCTTTTCCCGGTTGCATATGTGAAAGGACACGAGAAAACGAAAAGCTTAATGACCTAAGATAGGGGATGATAAAAATTTAAGCTAGCAACATTTTTTACTTCTTACATTTGTAGATTAAGTTAACCAGTAAAGCTAGCACAAAGGTGTTGTTGTATTGGCGTTTGATCAATGATAATTGCTCAAAGTAGGATGAAGTCTTCCAGTAAAAACAACAGTTGCTTTTGGTATAAACTAAATCATGGACACCAACTAAATGAATCAAATGCTTGCCTAAACTACACAATAAATGTAAAGTATTCCAGTTCCCCATTAACATTCTACATGAATGAAATCTAAACATTGGGAGAGTTAAAATAATCTTACTCAGCACCTGCAATTGCTCAATCTTGAATCGTTTGGCCAGGAACTTCAGATGCCATGATAGTGACAAATTGTCGGCATGGTATCATCACAAGTCAGCAAAAACATGGTAAGTTTTGGAATCTACAGCTATAAGCCTCAGAGCAGCAACAAGTGCTGCCAGGGACATGAACCCAAAGAAGATCACATTTAGCCAGTGCCAGAGCTTTTGGAAGGAGCTCAATTTGCTCCCCTTGGCCACTAGGTACATGTGGTTTGCCAGAATGAATGTTAGGGGAAAGGTGCTGATTGCCCCTGTGAGGCTCATGAAATCTCCTAAGAATGGCAGAAGTGCTGACACCAATGTGTTGAGGGTAAGGTATCCACCTCTCACTCCCAGCCTGAACGTCAAGTTTCGAATGGCGAATCGATTCCCCTTGATCCCGTACTTGGTGTCCAAGAACTCGTACATAGGACTCGCGAATATGTGTAAAGCGATGACCGACTGAAAGAATGCAGCAATATTGGCCATTGCCTTCACCCAAACTGGACCATTGACGCTGCTAAGCAAATAGGTTGATGTGGATGAACCATATGCCCAGTAGCCGATGAAAGTGACAGCATACATGGGTAAAACTCCAGCTGTGAACTGGAAGTAGAGTGCTTTCATCATGTTGTTAACTACTGGCTGCTTTATTGTTGCCTGTTTGTAAATCGAGTTCAAACAAACTTATGTAAGGGAATAAATTTAAAGTTCCACATAAAGCTGCAGAACTTCTAAATACTTCTCAAGTACCTGTATCTCTGGAAGCATTCCTGTATTAAATGCAAAGACGAGATTGGCAGATGCTCCAATTGTCGTGAAGATCTTGCTCGTTGTGGTTCCTGGGATGCTGTAGTCCCTGGCTGGTGTATTGACCCCTGAAATCAGCATCGAATGTTTCAGAATACTCGGAACTAAGGAGGATTATCAACCTTAAAACAAGTGCCTTCACTAAACAGCAAAAGGGATTCAGAGAACACGCAAAATGTACCATCTTTAATGGAGAGTACAAAGGCAACTATGATGTATATCAGGCTAAGGACTGTTGAGACTCCCAGCCAAACTCTCAGTGCTGATAAATGAGGAGTTGAAATGGCAAACAAGCCACAAACAACCCCAGCAATGGCTATGAAGTAGGGAAGCTTCATTGGACCATCTTCATCGAAAAGAACATAGGCAGCCTGGAGTTAGAAACATCCAGTCAGAAACACAAAGAAAAATCCATAATGTATGCCAGCCATATAGGCACAGTCTATAGACCAAACAGTAACGAAAAAGCTGCAACCTGAGAGACGACTCAATCAGCTCACCTTAAGAGCCTGGCCAGCTAAGATGATATAACCAGTGTTGATCATGAAAAGGTTCACATACTGCAAACCCCATGTTACAGAATAAGCTCTCTTACCTGCAGCAGACATGGAGGAACAAAGCAAACATTTTGAATCAATTGAACTAATGCTGCAACAGTGGCTGCGAGGTAACATATTTCACATACCATATATGAATCCAGCCAAATCTCTGTATCTGATATGCCTTTTGCCTCCAAACTCATGTAGCTTAGCCACCAGAGAGTTCGCATACAATGAGATGGCAGTGGCCAGAATCAAACCAACCACACCAGGAACCCATCCCAAAGGGACCATTATGGTCCCTGAATAGCCTAATACATAGGCACTGTTGATCCCAGTTGTAAGAACAAATCCCACTTGGAACCATGAGTCTGTCAAGAATTAAGTTCAAGTTATCAGCATCACTGTCTGTCAAGAATTAAGTTTAAGTTATCAGCATCACTGTGACTGTGAACCAAAAACCAGAGCTCTCCATCTGACAAAAACCCCAAATAAGAGATCAAAGACAATCTTTTGTCACACCCATTTCCAGAAAACCCTTTCCTTCTCACAAAAAGGAGTGTCCAAAGAGATTCAGATGATAAATGATTAGGACAAAGCTTCCCTTTTCAACTTCATAAGTAAGAAATGGCGAGACAGAGTAGTGTTCTATATCAAACGTGAATCCCACCTTCAAACAAAAATCCTTTTTATCTTCCTTTTCCCACCAAAAAACAATCATTTGTTTGAAAAAGGCCTAAAGAAGTACATGAACAAGAGCCAACTGAAATATGATCCTTAAGAAAACTCGAAAACCGCACACCTTCGGATTATGTCAGCAGCCACAAGACGCCAAAAATGGTCAAACCAAAAGGGGATCAACAGAACTTAATAAGGAAAAAAGAAAATTGAAGTAGAGAGAGGAATTCACCGCTGCTAATCTGATGGGCAGTCTCGGGGATTGCAACGGCTAAGTTTTCCTCGTCATGAACTTTCCTCGTCGGCCCAGAAAAATCCCCTCCGCCGCCGTTTCTGTCCATGATCAGAAGGGTGGTTGGTGGTCGGGGCAATAGAGAAAAGGCCTCCTCGCCGTCTCCCCCTGGTGATTCGTCGGTCGCCGACTCCTCCTCCAACACTAAACTGTGAGAGAAAGCCAGCTTGATTTGATTCGGAGATTATCACTTCAGTTATATAGTTGCCGACTTCTTCGGCCAGGCGGGTGGAATGGAATCAATGCGACCCGATATGGATTGTTCCCAATTCCCTCTCTCTATCTATTTTTTTTTTTTGTTTTTTTATTCAAGATTACTGCTTTTTTTCTGTTGGGGCACAAAATTCCGGAGGTCGAGAAAGCAGAGATCTTGTTCGCATTTAGTGGGGCTGAGAGAGAAAGGAAGAAGAAGAAGGAGAGAAAGAAAGAGAACCGTTCATTTCATTCCTTCTTCTCGCGAGAGTCAATTTGTTCTGTTTTAGGCTTTTAGCTTAGCTGTTGCTTTCTGCAAAATATCTTGAATTTATTAATCAATAAATGAATATTAATACCACCCATCAGCCTCAGTTGTTTGTAATTTGTACGGCAAAAATACGAGACGCTTGTTAAATAAGCACCAAATATAATGACACATGATGAACAAGCATAACTTGATCAAATAAGAAATTATGTTCAAATGAGATATAAGTAAAACATACAATTTTACGATATTTTTATTGATATTTCAATGTTTTTAATTCTGAGACGCCTTTTTATGGATTAGATTCTCGATACTGTGTAATAAACACTCCTTTCAACATTTTCTAAGCTCTTTAAGAGGCATACATCAAAGGAATCATTTTTAATCTGGACTCTACTCACCAACTTTATATGATTCCTCTCTTTACAAAGGAGTTGGACCAAGCTTCCCTTAGGGGAATAAAGCTCAGTCACTCTCCAGCTTTTTAAGAAAAATTCCCTTTCTGTAGAAGAAAAAACAATCTTTTGAGCAAAGACCCAATATGATGAGGATTCTGTCGGACTAGGTGATCAGCACTTCATGCTGGTACCTGTGGAAGAGAAGGAATGACAGAGTCCTGAAAGTCACTATCCAACCGAACCACCACTGTCAAAGATCACAAATTGGACCATACTGATCAAATTTTTAGGGACTTGCAGAAGCCAGGATGTGGGAGGATCCAACGTGCTTAGCAACTGTTATTGTTCGAGGATTTCAAAACCCAACTCGATTAACAATACAAACTGAAGCGCCATTTATGCGACTTCTTTGCACAAACACTTTACAGAAACGCTGTGTTTGTACCAGCGCTGTATTATGGCCTATAAGCTGGCTATTATCCCATTTCCCTGATCTGTTAAAAACCAGGTGGGGCAGGGCAGCATCTGCAGAATGCCACCTTTACAAGTCCGCGAACAAATGGTAAGTTTTGGAGTCCACAGCAATCAGCCGTAGAGCAGCAACAAGTGCTGCAAACGACAGAACCCCAAAAAACAACACGTTGAGCCAATGCCATAGCTTCTGAAACGAGTTCAATTTGTTCCTCTTAGCCACTAGGTACATGTGGTTCGCTAGAATGAACGTGAGAGGGAACGTGCTAATCGCCCCGGTAAGGCTCATGAAATCTCCAATGAATGGCAGCAGTGCTGCAACCAATGTGTTGAAGGTAAGGTAGCCACCTCTCACTGCTATCCTGGATGTCAGGTTCTGGATGGTGAATCCTCTTCCCTTGATCTTGTACTTCGTGTCCAAGAACTCGTACATTGGACTCGCGAATATCTGCAGGTATTTACGCCAACATGATTAGAGAGTTCTGTATACGGTGCAATTTTTCGTTACAAGCAGAAGCCAGAAGGGTCATGTCACATGTGTGTTGGATAGTTGTTTACGTGTAGAGAAATGACTGATTGGAAGAATGCAGCTATATTGGCCAATGCCTTGAGAGAAACCGGACCATCCACGCTGCTAAGCAAATAGGTTGATGTGGATGATCCGTAAGCCCAGTAGCCAATGAAAGTGATGGCATACATTGGCAGAACACCAACTGTGAGCTGGAAGTAGAGTGCTCTCATCATGTTCTTCACTACTGGCTGCTTTATTGTTGCCTGTTTGCAGTTTGAGATCAGACTTTTCAGATCATCACTCAAATTTAAGCTGCAGGCTGTTTCTGAGTCCAGTTGAATGAATTTAACTACCTGTATCTCTGGGAGCATTCCTGTGTTGAATGCAAAGAAAAGATTGGTAGTTGCTCCAATGGTTGTGAAGATCTTGCTTGTAGTTGTCCCTGGGATGCTGTAGTCTCTGGGAGGTGCATTGACCCCTAAAAACCAAATGAGTCTCAGAAGATCAGCTGAGGATGTAGATTGCTGCTAAACAGCAGATGATGAGGTTGGATTGAACTAAATGAACAATCTGCGTACCATCTTTGATCGTGAGGACAAAGGCGATAATGATATAGATCAGGCTGAGAAGTGTTGAAACTCCAAGCCAGAGTCTGAGTGCTGACAAATGAGGAATTGAAATGGCAAACAGACCACATACAAATCCAGCCATGCCTATGAAGTATGGAAGCTTCATCGGACCATCTTGGTCGAAAAGAACATAGGCAGCCTAAACAAAAATTCGACATCGCGCTCAGATCAAAACATCCACTATGGATTGCCATATCTAAATAAGCTCCACCCCAGTCGAGTTCTGACTCACCTTAAGAGCCTGACCAGCTACTATGATAAAACCAGTGTTGATCATGAACAGATTCAGATACTGAGAGCCCCATGTCATATAATAAGCTCCATCTCCTGCAAGTACACAGGCAAAACAAAAGCCACCATAAGATACTACTAGCTAACAGATCACTCACATGGTTATAACCTCCATTGAATGTTTGCTGGTTTTGTTTGCATATACTAACCATATATGAAGCCAGCCAAATCTCTGTATCTGATGTGCCTTTTCCCTCCAAACTCATGTAGCTTGGCGATGAGAGAGTTTGCATACAATGACATGGCTGTGGCCAGAATAAGACCGACCACTCCATAAGTCCATCCCAAAGGGACCATTATGGTCCCTGAATAACCTAGTACAAAGGCACTGTTGATCCCAGTTGTAAGAACAAATCCCACCTGGAACCATGAATCTGCCAAAAGCAGAGTGAGGTTAAATAAATTAGTCCCAACTCTCAACTCTCCAGCTCTATGCTAACTAACTGGCTACACAGGGAAGCAAGTCTCCATATAATGAACTGAACCAGTAATGTCCATATCATTCTAAAACCAAATAGGATATCAAAGACTCCAACTTTTGAGAACCCCATTTAGTCAAAATCCTTTCTTTAGCATGATAAGAAGGGTCAACTCAGTATTTTTTAAGGAAGTCAACTCCATATATATATACTGAAATGATTCCAGCTCGTACTTATCATTAATACCACGTATAAAGAATTCAAAATACGCAGAATGGCAATAACAATATCACAAGACAAAAACAAAGGGTACGTTGGTTTAGACTTGTTCTTGACGTACGAAACAAAAGAAAAACATTCTTTTCTTTTACATTTACCGGGGAGAAAAAGATCCTGCCTTTTTCATCCATCCAATCACATTTACCCGAGAAATAGAAAGCAGCCAATCATAATTCAGACACAATTATACAACACAATTCCCACTGGCGCTAGTGGCAAAGTAAACGACAAAAGAAAAAGGGAGAAAAAACAGAGGAAGAAACGATGAACTGGCTCACCGCTGCTAATCTGATGGGCAGTCTCTGGAACCTCAACGGCCAAATTCTCCTCATCGCCAACTTTCCTCCTCTGCCCACCAAACCTTTCTCCTCCTCCTCCGTCGTCGGCGTCCATTACAAGAGGAACGGTCTCGTCGGCGAGTCGTCCTCCTCCGGCCTCCGCGGCCAACACAGCTCCGTCTGAGAAAGCCAGCTTGATTTCTTAAAGTAGCTTGTTCCTTGGCTTTATATAGTAGCCGAATTCGGCTGCCAGGTGGGCGGAATCGCTGCAATTGGGTTCCTCGCTAGCTCACTGCCCCCTATCCTTTTCCAAAAGTTGAATTCTGGGTTGTTGCTGTGACTCCGAATATGGAAAGGATTTCTCGAAGATCGAATAGGTACAGATGTTATTCGCACTAAAAGAGGGTTGTGAGGGGAATAGACGGACAGAGAGGCTGGGAGAGAAGAAGGAAGGAACTCAGAGTGCAGAATGGGAGGAAGAAGAACTGGATTCTCTTTCTCAGATGCAAATTTGATTAGCTTTAATCAGCTTTTTGTTGCTGTTTTCTATGATATATCTGCAATTTTTTATTATCCAATTTTTATATTGTGCAATTATTGGTAGCTTGTTCTGTTCTGTACATAAATAAATGAATAAGCTCCGGTTTCCTTTCTATTTTATCCAACCATTCACGCATGTTTTTTAAATTTAATTTTTATTTTATTTGCAGACGTATTTGTTTAATGTTTGTAACAATTGTACCTTTTTTCCCCTATATTGCTATCCCTTATCGTAATAGAATTAGCATCTCTGCTTGTTTGAGCCACGAAACCCCCTTCTCTATCCGGACGTCTCCCTCCAACAGACGTCGACCTACACACATAAAGAGGAGGGCGCCACGGCCCGTTAATCCTCCGACGCCCAAGTTAGTCTCAGTTGGAGAGTAAAGTTCTCAAGTAGTGTTTTGGTGAGAGAGAGTCCAACCTGTGTAAATGCTACCAACTGCCCCTATTTATACTCACCGAACTCGAGGTTGATCTCCTCCACGTCATTGTGCCCATTTAATGCTTTGTACTCTCTTTGTCAGACACCCCAACCACCTTGTCAGGCTTCTGACGCGTGACAGGCGCCCCCAGGTGATGGACCACCTGCCAGCCTGGACTTCTTTGGCCTCTAGTGTTTTGTCTTCATGTGCCCTTCCTCTTATTTGGGCCTTGAGGTATTTCCAGGACCCTCTTTTGGGCCTTGCCCCCCAAGTCCTTTGTCTGGGGGCCCAAACTTCCAATTGCTGGGTAATACCCCCAACAATTGCCCCCCCAGTTAGGCGCTCATGGCTTCATCCTTGAGCGCCTGACTGATTATCTTGCTGTGGTCTGTTGCCTTCTTTGTTATGGGGCGTCCGCTTCTGGGCGCCCCATGTTGTGTTTCTACCTTTTCCATGGTTCGGGGGCGTTTTCGCCAATCTCTTACGTTGGCGGGCGTCCCGTCTCTGATGATGCTCCTCGCGATATGTGTTTTCTCTTTGCTCCTCGCGATATATGTTTTCTCTTTGTACTTCGTGGACGCCTCTTCATGGCATTCTTCGTGCGGGCGTCCCTAGCCCTTATGCCCCCCTCATGGGGGGAGTTTTGATGTGAGCCCCACGTTTCGCTTGGCGGGAAAACTCGAAATTTCGAATATGGAGATTGGAAAATTCGAAATGGGAAATTTCGAAAATTCCGGAGGGGAAAAAGTGGGGGAAGCTCAAAAGTCCACCCGTGATACTGACACGTGGCATGTCAGTGCGATTCCTGACGCGGACTTTCGCCTCCTATAAATACCCCCCTCTCCCTTAGTTCCTGTCACTTTCTTCTATCTGACTTCGCTCTGACTTCGCTCTGACCTCTCGCGAGTAGTGACACAAGACGCCCAGTTCAACGCGGTGAGTGTTCCTTTTTCCCCCGTTAGTTTCGTTGAGTTTATTCTAGTCACCTAGGGTAGGGGCGTCACTTACCCCGTGTCCGCGTTGCGTCTGGGTCATTTGTTGGTTTAGAGCGGGCGCCTGCTTCAGCATCCGGCGGACCATCATCGTCTGCGGGGCCATCAAGTTCTTCGGCGCCTGGTTTCTTGCCTGCCGATGGGTCCTACAAGATCACCACGTGGGAGAAGTGTTTTCCTCCCGATCATCTGCCCACCGAGACGTCTAACTTACCGTTCGAGGTGGCCGGCCCGAAACACACGTCAACCGTCACTTTGGATCGTGTTCACGAGTTGGTAACCAGCCTCCAGCTTCCCAGAGATTGGTGGTATGCGCCCCCATCGCCTCTGTCCCGGGTGGGCGTCTGTGGCCCGAAGTGGATCGGGATCTATCAAGAGTATTTCCGCTTCGGGCTACAGTTTCCCCTTGACTCGATCATGGAGGGAATCTTGACGGCCTGCGCCTGTCCACTCGGGCGCCTATCTCCCTCAGTTATCACGGTCGTTATACTATTCAAGTTGAGGTGCCGGGAGCATAACGTGGAGCCCACCTTCAACTTGTTCAGATACTTCTTCAAGATGGTGCCTCTCGACAATTGCTTGTCCCTCCAGAAACGAAAGAAGCGCCCCTATCATTTTGTGAAGAAGTGTCCCAAGTTGAACCGAAGCTGGTTCAACGGTTTTTTCTTCGTGAAGGCCTATCGCGACTCCTTTTTTGCAAGTGGGGGCGCCTTTATTAGGAAATGGGAGTTGGGTCAAGTCGAGGCCTTTAACGCGCCGGTGGTTTTGACGGCGTCTGAAAAGGCAGGCGCCCCCTTAATTTGCGAGGGGGCACCCGTTGACTTACGCCCCGCCGAAAACCTCCCGCCTATCATTGAGGCGTACTATAACGATGGTGTGTAGGCGTCTAGGTGTTCTATTTCTTTGCTCCCTTGTTTGTGTGATGGACTAACTTATTTTCGTCATATGCAGGGGCGGACTACTCAAGCATCGCCAAGCTGATGAAGAGTAGGCTGGCGACTATGGCGGCGGAGGCGGCCGCGGCGGCGGCTGCACAACAAGAGGCGCCTGCACAACAAGAAGCGTCTGCCACTCAATCACGGGCGCCAGCGACTGGCCCCAAGAAGAAGAAGAAGAGGGCGGTGAAGGGTGGCACCGCTCGGGCGCATACGGCGAGCGTGGCCTCATCCGCTCCGGAGGAAGGCGAGGGGGCGCCTAACTCCGACCCCGCGGAGAAGGAGGTCAACTCCGCGGAAGAAGAAGAAGAGGAGGAGCCTTTGCTCCGAAAGGGGAAGAGGGCGGGTTCCCCCTTAGCCTCGGCCAGCAAGAGGGCCGACAGGGGAAAGAAGAAGGTGGGGGAGGAGGACGCCTGCGACGAGGTGGAGGTGGAGGCGGAGGCGGTGGAGGACGCCCATCGGCACCTAAACGAAGAGGGGCGCTATGTTGGCCCCGATGGGCGTCCCCCCATCTTCCGGCCACGGCGTGCCGATGTGGGGCGGGTCAACATGAACTGCTCCCCTTTGGTCGCCGTCGACCGAGGGTGCGCCATGGGCTTGGCGATCGCGGCCGCCAAGTCATGGCAGGTGCCGTCCGAGGTGAACGGGGATCACCTCTTTGCTGAGCTGGCCCAAGTGGGCGCCAAGGTATGCACTTTCTTACTTGTGTTTTCCAGAAGTTAAGGGAATGGTTTGGTATTTTGCACAACTTGCTGAACTTTTTCTAACGGTTGCAGATCCTTCTCTTTGCTGAAAGAGGCGCTCGACGCCTCAATTAGACTAAACGGGAGGCGCTCGAGGCTTCCTCTTCAGCTTCTCAGCTGAAGTTGGACTTGGAGAACGCAACTGCACGCCGTGAGCAGTTTGCGAAAGAGTGCGAGGACGCCCAGATGACGGCGACCATGGAGGTGTCGCGGCTGCAGGGCGCCCTGGACGAGGAGCGCAGGAAGATGGCCGACCTGCAAGCTGAGAAGGAGGCGTTGGCGCAGGAAGCCGGTGCCCAGGCCAGTGAGATTGACATCCTCAAGGAGGAGAAGAAGAGGCTGCATGACGCCCACAAGGAGACCGAGAAATCCTTGAAGAAGGCCCGGAAAGAAATTTCTGGATTGCGGCAATCTTTGGACAACTTGATGGAGTCAGAGACTGGGAAGTCCATGTGCGCCAATGCCATTCTGACCGGCATTGAAATCCTGCGGGTGAAGTTGCAGAAGGACCACCCCGACCTTACTTGGGATCTCTCGGAGATGGCTGAGTATGTGATTGGTGGGATGGAGACGCCTCACGGAACAAGCGGGGCGCCCGAGCCATCTGCTCCTACCTCTCCTTCTCCAAGGGCGCCTAGTGCTGGGGACGCGAATTCAGGCGCTGATTAGATTAGCGGTCCTCGGGCTTTAACTTTCCTTTTTGTATTTGACTTTCCTATCTTTTGTATATTTATAATGTGAGAATTTATGTTTCCTTGCCAATCGCCTTCATTTCCAATTTAACTTTCCTTTTATTGCCAATTTGTGTTTTTGGGCGCTAAATGGGGCGCATTTCTCGTGAGGGCGCAATGTTAGGGCGCTTTTGCAAAAGGTGGGCGCGGAATGTGGCGCTTTACTATACTCAGTGTTGCCGGGCGCTATTTTGGGGCGCTTTTGTGTCACACGAAATTTCTTAAACTGAACACAGCAAAATTAGGGCGCTATAGAAAGGGCGCTTTAGTAACAATACGGCGCTGTTTTTTCGGGCGCTTTGGTCACAACACAAACATACCTACATACTTGTCTTAACACAAAACAAACACTTTCTTTCTTTCGCCTTTCTTAAATCGAGGCGTCGTCTTCAGATGTTGCGTCCGCCAAGTAAGATCGCAGGTTTTGCGCATTCCATGTTCTTTTCACCATACGGCCGTCAATATGTTCTAACTTGAACGTACTGGGTCCCACCATTTCCCGAACTCGGTATGGTCCCTTTCATTTTGGTGCCAGCTTCCCTTCGCGGGCGTCGGGGCGGAAGTCTCGTTTGAGGACGAGGGCGCCTTCTGTGATCCCATGGGCACGCATCTTTTTGTTATAGTACCGAGCCACCTGCCTCTTCATTTTTTCTAGGCGGATCGCCGCTACTTCCCTCACCTCATCCACCATGTCTAAGTCATTTGAGCGCGCCTCATCATTTCCATTTGGATCGTACTGGGCCACGCGGTAACTTGGTGTGTTGAGTTCCACCGGAATGACGGCATCGCTCCCGTAAGTAAGGGCGAAGGGTGTTTCTCCTGTGGCCGTTTTGTAGGTGGTATGATGCGCCCACAGCACACTTGGCAGTTCTTCCACCCATCTTCCCTTGGCGCCTGTCAGTCTTGTGTGCAAGCCATGGAGAATGCTCTTGTTAGCTGCCTCTGCTTGACCATTTGCTTGTGGGTAGGCGACCGAAGAGAAACGCAACACCACCCCATTGTCGTCACAAAACTCAATGAATTTTTTGCAATCGAACTGCTTCCCGTGATCTGTGAAAATGGATTCGGGCAAGCCGAATCGGGTGAATACACTACAAGAAAATTGACTTTTAGCGGCTAAATTATGGTGGCAAATATTGTAAATGTCTCAAAATGTAACTTATAGCGATGGATATAAAATTTGCCTCTAAAAGTTACAAACACTGTCGCTAATAATTTAAGTTATTTTATCTATTAATACCAATGAGAATAAATTATTATATTTGTCGACAGATTTCTAGTATTGCCTTCCAAAGTATTGG